CCACAGCAACAACAACAGACAGCAATCAGCATAAATAGAAGGAACCTGAAAGAAACTACCTCCTTTACCTACTTGGGAAGCATTGTTTCAACTTCAGGCGGAACTGACGAGAATATCAAAGCAAGGATCGAGAAAGCAAGGCAAGCTTTCACTACTCTCAAGTCTGTGTGGAGGTCAACAGCATTCAGCGTCAAAAATAAGATCCGGATTTTCAACTCCAATGTGAAGTCAGTACTACTATACGGATCAGAGACTTGGCGTGTCACAAAGAGCACCTCAAACAAGCTGCAGACCTTCATTAACAGATGTCTTCGCTCAATACTCAAGATCAGATGGCCGGAAAGGATCAGCAACAAAGATCTCTGGGAGCGAACCAACACAGCAGGAACCGATTGTGAAACAAATAGGCAGGAAGAAATGGAGATGGATTGGCCACACTTTGAGGAAACCAGCAAGTGACATCACTAGACAAGACCTCGAGTGGAACTCGAAAGGGAAGCGACGAGTTGGTCGTCCAAGGGTGACCTGGAGGAGATCATGTGAAGAAGAATTGAAAGCGTATGGGCAGACTTGGAGCCAGGTGAAAACTCTAGCAGAGAACCGAACGCAATGGAGACGCATGGCTGAAGCCCTATGTTCCTCTAGGAACTAAAGGAAATAATAATAATAATCTACATCAGTTACACTTAAGATGCTATTCTAGTTTTCATCAAATCAATATCAGTCGGAGATCTTTCGAAAACTTAAGGATGTCGCCATACAAACTCTAAGTTTAACATCATCAGCTCTCACAGCAAGCAGTTAATCATTCAGTGACTGAGTATGGACCTTAGTGAAGAATGCTTTCCAACTTCTGAAACCATCTCAAAGTTATTCAACTAGGTATTCAGCTGTGAATGTTTGAAGATAATTCACTGGTTTGTATACCAGGCGGAAATTTTGACCAAAAAACGACACAGTAAAAGACTATTTGAGAATATTTAATCAGCTGGATACCTTTATAAATCTCAAGCGAAACCTGATAACATCCCTTTCGACTAGCAGCTGAAGAATCTGAAGCCCTCAGTCAGTAGATGAAAAGGTCACACTTTCAGGAAGACACTTAATGAAAATAGCCACCCAACCCTCCCCCCCACACACACACACACTTCATAGATCAAACGTGAAACGCACAAAATTGTATTGTGATAACAGCTTGATGCCATACCGTATTTTCAGTACAAGTATGGAATTTTCAGCATGGATATCGGTAGCCCAAATTTTACAGGCCAACCATAAATATCGGGTGTGCGTCGGCAGGGGATCTAACCCCGGACCATGTGCATGGTCGGCGAGAGTCCTAACCACTGTGCCACCGACGCACATTTGAATCCAACAAAGAAAACTCTATCTCTGCATTGAAGATGTCATATGTGAATGTAGTGTTCAAAGGTGACCTTCTGGCTGACATTCTAAAAAGAGGATATTGAACTTCCACAGAAGGAAAACTCCTTGCTTATACACGAAGATAAGCATCCTCCTGTCACCTAATGTCCTATCAACTATCGCATTTAATCACTTCTATCTGCATCTACCGGTTTACCTACTCCGGTGGAGCGAAGTATATAGGCCGTTCAATCTGTGTTTTATCTAAAACGAATCAAGAAATATAATTCCACTTATTGTCTACAGTAAGTTAGCGATTGATCAATACGGAGTGCTATAATTTAATATCCATATAATTAATTCTACAATTTGTTTCCATGGTGAAAAAGGAAAGCTTAAAGCTGAAAAACCATTTAGACTTATCCCACTTCGTAATAACAATAATAATAATCCTAATAGTAATTAAAAATGATACTAAGACGTTTAGTATTTCTGTAAATGAAGATTATATCCTAGAGGTAATTAAAAAATTACGCAAAAACTAAGATATTTGAATATAAGACCTTCAGAAGAACACAACTACGCGCTCTAGAAAAGGGTTATAAAAACGAAAACACAGGTTTCCTCTACTTCATAACTTTCAACGAAACTTTAGAATTTTCAAGAGTTAGCATTTGAGAATTTGATTTGTTCAGGGATTGATGTCATGTAGAGAAGTAACCTGCGCCACCTCTGGCTTGTGTACTGCTCAATAATCAGTTCACTGCATCCTCCTTTATGACTGACTGTGAGACATGGCCATTGAGAGTGGAAGACGCTGAAAGACTACCTAGCTGTCTTTGATCATAGGTGTCTACGTTGAGCATCGGACGAATGCTAGGTAGGTGGGAAGGGGATATCAATCTATTGTGTTGTGAAGCTATATTGATTGAGTCAGTAAAGCTATGTGTAACACATGCCTAGCCGTCGTCTTCCTCGATGGGCTATGTTAGCTGACACAGAATGGATCAGATTGGAAAATAGAAATCTAGTGGTGGTTAAACCAAAATATGTCTGCGTCAGTCAATCAAATCCACAACAGTTAGTTTAAGCCAGGTAGTCATCAGCCACTTAGGCAGGTGTAGACTGACTTCCTGAGTGGGTGGGGTTCTCGAGATCGTAAAAACAAATGACAACTGGAGACAATTATCGGTGATATGGCTGGCTCAAAATCCTCAGTCTTAATGACTGGTTCAGATGCGTTCACTCATTGTGATTTATGATACGCAATAAAATTCTGTTGTTCTACCATGTTATTATTCTTCGTCCTTCACATCTCTGTTTATTATCTCTCTTTTGAATCTCTCTCTACTCTCTTCTCATGCTTTGTGTGTTACAAGGGGAGAGTGTGGCAGCCCGAGCTGCTGCATGTCTGTGCAAAGTTCTACTTTGAAACCAGTCCAGTCAGTCAGTCAGTTAGAGAAGCATTGAAAACCAGTATGTGGTACTTGATGGTCACTTCGCCTCAGTTAAGGACTCTTCATCAGTATACATCCACGGAGTTTCGAGCCCCAGGAGATTCAGATTGCAAAGCAAGCTCGTATACCATTGAAGTCCTGAGATCCAATCCAATAGCGGATGAATTCCACCTTCTATCAATTCGTGACTACCAGTCAATGTTATCGGTGAAGTGTTTGTTCTAGTGCCTGACATAATGGATCGCCTCTTATCACCACTTCTCCCTAAAAAAACTTCAGGCAACTCCATCGTATAGCCAGTCACTAGTGAGCATCAGATTAAATTTCAAGAGTTAGTTTGCAGGGATTTGAATGTTTACAATTGTGTAATAGACAAATGATGCAATATACCTTCTCTTGTATTCAGCATCTTTCAATGGAGTCATTAAAAGAATATGCTTAATGTAAAACTGTAAAAACTGTGCGAATCAGTATGGCATCAATAATGTAAAGTGATCAAATTTTAAATCGTGTCGGTAGGGAAAGTGCAGACTTCATGGCTGAATTTCTTAAAGTAATCCAGGGTGTATACCTTAGGTAATATGGCAAGTTTATCACAGCAGCGTGAATAAGTTTCAAATGGCCCACATTCATATTTCGTCATAATTTACATTAAGGTTATTATTATTATTATTAAAATTGTAATCATGGGGTAAAATAAACTGTAGCTACATTCCGTCAGACTATACAAGTTGTCAGCTGCGGTCCACTTGACGATGTAGAAGTAGCAGTGTGGTGACAGCTGGCTGCAAGCCAAAATTGTAGACAACAATTGACGTCAATGTTTACGTCCCGAATTGGGGTCATGAGAAAAACACAATTAAAAAGCTTAACCAACCAATCACAGCAGACTTAACATGTGCAAATGAGATTCGCAGATATATGGCTTAACTTTTGGAGTATGGAATAACCTTCTGCAAGAAAACAACCAATCATAAGATGTTTTCTTCTCCACTGACAATAATGTACATAAAAATCTATAAATATCTCTTGATTTTCTCAATAAACAATCTGTTGCCTAGCCCTCGTCTTCTGTTGATACAGTAGTAGCGGTAGTTTAAATGTAGATTCCATCACGAAACGACTTCAGTTAAAGAATCATTGAAAAACAAAAACCCCAGGAAAGTTGTTACGTCCTAGTTTAGAAATCTTCAAAATACCTAGAAAGCCCTTAATCTAAATGAATATCCTCCATGTACACCGTGATGGCGAGCTACCTAGAATTATGACCACATTACAACCTGACTGATAGAATTCAGTCTGCACCAAAGAGAGGAGTAGACGCATCACACTAGTTACTAGTGTCAAATCAAAATATCCACCACAGTCCTACAGGAGGTCAATCGCGAGCCCGAATAGCTCAGTGGTAACGTCTCTGACTGCAGCACTGGGTGACGCAGGTTCGAATCTCAGAAAGGACATGAGTTCCTTCAAGGTTGCAGATACGTCTTGCTGACGAATGCCAACTAGCATGAAACCTAGGTCCAAGGCTTCCTGCAGATTGCCTCCAACCATCTAATATCTTCACAAATATCCTCCATCCCCAGCTCATTAATACCTGACTTTAAAATGGATGATTTGAAAATCTAGCGAGTAGTCCTGCCCGAAAGGTTGCACCATGTTGGATGCGTAACGAAATACGCATCGATGGTGGTATTTGGCCGCCAATCGATAAAAGTTAGCATTTTAGAGTCTTTAAATTCCAATCAAATGGCTGAATTATTCACCAGTGTTCCACTAGGAGCACAGGATTTTAAGCTAGAAATTCGAAGTCAGAGTAACTGTGATGTCTAGTTTAGCCTTACACTTCCAACCACCTTGACTTTTTTCTCTGGGTTAATATCCACTAAGCGAGACTTAGAGGTGTGTCGGCAAGGGGTCGAATGCCAGACCATGTGAGTAGCATGGTTGGTCAGTGAGTATTTGACCATTGAATCATCGTAATATTAAGAAAAGTCATGGATTCCAAAGCTTATAAGGACATGGGGGGTGTGCGTAGGTATATGATTGTTGTCAATTATCCGTCAATCAACCAATTCATTAAATAAACAAATGTATAAATAGATGAATAACCATCATATCTCATTATGAGATTAGATAAGATTTTTAAAAAATAATAAAAATAAAACGTCTACTCACAATTATAAATTCCTATATAATACAGGAGAATACAACATAATTGAAAACAACAACAATAATAATAATAAAATAACAAAAAAGAAAACAAATAAGCCAATACACAAAGTAAATACATTAACAACATGAGATTTAATGATTTAATTCTTTTGTACAAAGATAAACAAAATAGAGAAGAAGAAGAGGATGGGTGGTAAGATGAATGTAGGAAGGAACAATAGGAAGGAAACGAAAACGGTACTGACGACGATGACAACGATGAGAAAGATGATTAACAATCTCAGCAAGTATTCACTTGACAAGAGAAGAATGCGATTTAAATCATAACATGATGGTGGCTGACTGACGGGTAAAGGCAATTGCATCCACGACACATGTTTTGTACTGTTTTGGGGAGTGTCAGATTTGGATGATCCCTCAATGAGCAAGAAATGGTACCGGCAAAGCTATCCACAACATCAGATAAATGTTTTCAAGTATTGGTTTTGTAGGGATTTTGTTTGTTTGATTGCATGGAGGATTTCATCATGAGCTGACATCAGTTAACGACTTGCCCTATTCAGGCAGTTAACCTGGGGTTCTAGTGGGAAGCCGTGATCAGTAGTGTACAGCAGGTTGAAGATGAGGCAGCAACTCATCGAAGAAGACATTGCGAAATGGTCGCGCTATGTCGTGAATTGGTTGGCAGAAGTTAGAATTCATGGGCTGGCACTGGATCGGGTCCCAGTGGCTCAATGGTCTACAAGCCAACTAGCCTTGTAGCCAGAAGGTCCTGGGTTCGAACCCTGGTGGGTGCGTACTGATGAAGTGTCCCAAACTAGGATGAAACGGCTATACAGTACTCCCAGATTTTCCAGTGGTTCTCTAACTGATGTCAGCTCATGATGAAATCCTCCATGCAATAAATGCTTTCATGTTAGCATTGAGGTGTGGTGTCGAAGTGTCAGCTATGTTCGAATGTCACAAGGAACGCCATTACTTGCCAGAGATGAAGATACACACAACTGATGAGTTCTAAATAGGTTTAATCTGGATTCCACTGCTGATCACTATCAACCATCTATTAAACAGTCATGTCTTCTAAATTATCTATTTTGGGAGGAGAGCAGACAATGAAGGGAACAAAGGCAAGAATTTCTGATAGCATCTAGTAGTTGGTTATTTTTACATCTTTGAGTTGCAGAATAGATGGTCATCAAAATGATGATAAAAAATGTTGTCGTTTGATTAACACCTATCGATTAACTGTGGAATGCAGGCAACAGAGAAATGTTTACACAACACACTGTTCTACACTACATACAGTCTTCCTTAATTTGGTTGGTATCAGAGGTTAGGAATGTAGTATTATTTGAGATCGAAGTTTCATGCTTCCTTGATGATTGTTGAAAACTTTTAGAAGAACTTGAACTGACACACACATATATATGTCACTGACTGGAGTATTGTTCATTGTTGTCTGCAGAACTATTCTTTACTTCCTAAGTCCGTGTTGTTTGTGGGTGCATAACATAGCATAATTGTCACTAAAATGTCAAGTCAGTGCTACTTACTATACGGATCAGAGACTTGGCGGCGCGCCACGTCACGAAGGCCACTTCGAACAAACTACAGGTTTTCATCAACAGCTCTCTTCACTCAATGCTACTCAAGATAAGATGGCCGGAAAAAATCAGCGATAATGAGGGATCTCTGGGAGCGAACCAACCCAGAAGGAACAATTTGTGCAATAAACATGCAGGAACAAATGATGGTGGATTGGATTGGCCATACTCTGAGAAAACAAACCACCATCAAGTGATATCCATCACACGCCAGGTTATCACTCGAGAGGAACCCGAATAGGAGGCAGTGAGTTAGTCGGTCGTCACTGCAAGGGTGACATACAGGAGGAGGTCATGAGGAGAGGAGATAAAAGCATGTGGGCAGATGTGGAGCCAGGTGAAAAACATTGGCGGAGAACCGAACGCTATGAAGACGTGCGAATGAAGCCCTATGTTCCTTTAGGAACTGATAAGGAGGTGATAATAATAATAATATAATTATATCTACTTATCAAAATAGTTAGGGATAACGACAATCCTCTAGTATTGTAGCGGAATACACTACAGGTATATTACTATCACTAATGCTAATTATTATTCAGTCAGAAGGTTAAAGAACAACGCGGAAAAAGTGTTGCACAGAAGCCTTTCACATTCTTCAGATACACATATGTATAGTAGGTTCGAATACTTCTGACACCGCTGAAGGCCTGGAATTAAATTTGAAATTAAATCACCCCCCTCCCAAATGAGCAGTAAAACAACACAACACCGACAACGCATATTTGAGTCGAAAATTTTTCTATTTACTGTTTGAAATCACCCAGAAAAACCACTTCTTTCCCACACACACACGCACACAAACGTCTTCGCACTGAGAAATCTGATTGTGAATGTTTTGTAGTGACAAAAATGAAGAATAAGTGCAATGAATAAGAAATGAACAACAGTAAGATTTTGAAGACAAAAAAGGGTAACACTCATAAATGCGAAATCAAATAAGAAACTATGAAACAACATACCTTTGATGGCTTCTCGACCACCTGCTAGTGCACCCAACGGGAGCATTCCAGTCGGTGTGAGTCCTTTCAATTCAAGAATAGTTTCACTTTCCTCTCTGTCAAAGAAAAAAGGAGAAGAAAAAAACCAAGATATGAAATGTTAGAAAAGTTTAAAAAAATGGATGCTATGGTATATATTCTGTAATGTGTAACAGTAACAGGTTTCGCAATTAATAGTGTTCTCTGAGCTCGTTGGTTTAGTTGCGGATATTTAGTGATTGGAGGAAATTGGCAGAAAGCCTTCTACCCAGGTTTCGCACCTGTTAACACTCGTTAGTAAGGCGAATCTGTAATCTTGAACAAACTCATATCTCTTCTAGGATTCAAACCCATGTCACCTAGTCCTGTAGTCAGAAACATTACCACTGATCTATTCGGACCTATCCGCAATTGACCTTCTGTAAGATTGTGACGGATACTTTGATTGGTCACTTCAGTAGTAACTGGTATCGTATGTCTAGTCCAGACTGAATTCTATCAGTCACGTTTGCGTTCTTTTTCGAAGGGTAATGTTATCTGACATAGAATAGATCAACTGAAGAAAAGCGAAAACATGTCTTCATCAATCAATGGAATCCACAACAATTAGTTTAAGCCAGCCACGTAGGGAGGTGTAGACTGGCTTCCTGACTGGTTCGGGGTTTCGGGATAGTAAAAACCAGTGACGACTGGAGACAATTGTCGGTGATATGGCTCAAAATTGTTCTCAAAGGCTGGTGCAGATGCATCCTCTCCTTGTGATTTGTGATATCTTATAAAATTCTGTTGTTCTCCCATGTTACTATTCTTCGTCCCTCACATCTATGTCTATTATTTCTCTTTTGAATCTCTCTCTACTCTCTTCTCTTGCTTTGTGCTAAACGGAGTGAGAGTAGCAACTCGAACTGGTGGGGATCTGTGCAAGGTTCTACGTTTAAACCAGTCCAGTAAGTCAGTCAAGTTTGTATTGTGGTCACCAAACTAGGTTAATTATCATCGCCATACCTAGTGGATTGATGTTAAATGACTGCAGGCAATCATAGGGCATATGAATTCCTTCGAAATTCTATAAACGCCTTGATGACAAGTTCAAGCAAGCAAGAAATCTAGGTCCAGAGTTTCCTATAGATTGCCTATCATAATCTAACATCAATTCAGTGTGTACCACGATGGTGAGTCACCTAGCATGGTGACTACCCTCCGAACCCAACTGATGAAATTCAGTCTGCACCATCCCAAAGACTAGATGGATGGCATTGATTACTATTCAGTGACCAATCAAAATAACTAGTGACTTATAATAAGGTTTAAAAAATGCGTATTTATGCACAACTGGTGGAATTAATACAATCCGCTTACAGCACACACACAAAGTCAGTAAACAAGATAAACCAAACTTTAAATATCGATCCACATAGAAATAACCAATTAAACACTGTTTTCCACTAAAGAATATTGATATCACTGATAAGACTTGATCAGCAACAACGCCACAAAAGGCAATTAATTTGATATCACTTACTACCTGCCTAATGACCAGTCATACAGTAGGTCAGTTGTGAAACCGAATAGACCAATGGTAATTTCTTCGACTACAGTACTAGCTGACGTGGATCTGAATCTCTAAAAAGAGTGAATACCTTCAAGCCTTCAAGCCGCGTCGGTGGCATAGCGGTAAAATGCTTGCCAACCACGCAGGTGGCCCGGGGTTCGATTCCCGTCCCATTCACTCCTTTGACTCACTAAGTCAGTAATAAGACTGGTTAAGAGGGGGAGGTTGGGTATGAGGCTAACAATCCCATCAAGACAAAACAAATACCACTGCTAAGAAAACTTCGAAAAAGCTGTAGCTTGAAGCCGTAAGTTCCAGCACTGGAAACGTAAAGGAATAAATTAAAGCCTAATGACACGCCTTGATGATAACTGCCAATAATCGAAAACCTGGAAAAAAACAGCTTCACTGACGACTGCTGACACTGAGGAAATCACCTGAATACATACTACAGGTCTGATAACTTGTTACATAAAAGTCAAGCTACAGTAGCAGCAGCAGACGGACAGTTTTGAAAACCTCTGTTAAAGCTATTTTTCAACATCTGTACTGGGAGAAGACATATCAAGAGAGACGAAATATTTCAGTCCAAAAGTAAAATAAAACCAAAAAATAACAACAGATTTGAAGCGAGTTGTCGTCGGTTGACCCAGTAGATAACATTTTGGAGTTTGAAACATAGTGCGCTAGAGGACGCAAATCCATCAACCTGATAAAAGTCTCAAAATAAGACGAAAAGCACCTTCTGGATTCCAAAGCTAACCACTGCCAATCAAATTACGTCAGTTTTGACTTAACAGACTCTAGACATTATTCAGTATAGAGATGCATTTTCTCTAAGACTAATGATTATAATAAGAAATATCAGAAATTCGCATTTTTAACACAAAGTATTAAGTCAGTAGTTCTATAAAGGTTCAGAGGTTTATAGTGAGTCATGAAAATGTGAATTTCACGAACAGCTAGCTGCCTTCACTCGATGCTGAAGGTCAGATGGCCTAAACTGATAAGCAAAAAAGAACTCTGACAAAGAACCTATCATCCAACAAAATATGTCGTAAAAAACATGGAGATGGGTCAGAATTTCGTTGAGGGTACTGCTAAATGACATCGCAAACCAGGCTAGCCATCGAGCATAACCCAAATGAGAAACAACGAGGTCAGTGTCCAAGGATGACATGATGGAGACAGTATAAGGAGGAAATGAGAGCTTATGAAAAAAAACTGCATAGTACAAAAATGAAATGGAGATACGCTATTGAAGTCCCATGTTCCAATAGGCACCCAAAGGAGTAATAATAATAATCATCGGAAGACTCGTCTTACGCCCCAAGACTTCAGCCATAGCAGTATTTGACTGTGGATTCAAGGCAAAGAACCTCCGAAGAGGGTAGGTGACAAGTTTTAACATTATTCAGTCTAGGTCACAATTATCTTCCTTGATCTAGGAACTTGGTTTTTCATGCTCGAGAACATATCCCACTATGGCTAAGTCAAGGTGTAATTAAAACTATTAGCGGCTCGATATTAGACCATCTGGTGCAAACCGGCCGGCCACAAAGCCAGCGTAGAAGAATCCTTATCTATAATACACCGGGTGCCTAACAAACTACCAAAATCGTCGAAGCACCGCTTACTCCAAACAGCAGAGGCTGTTGCAATTCGCCTCAAAAAACCAGTGTTCTGTGTTCCAAAGAAACAAGTTCAGCCTCTACTACTGCCCTGGCCCTCAGTAAAAATTATAAACTCATGAATTTGTAATATTATCTTTCCTAATTCTTCTGATATTCAGCTTATTTTATGTTGATGCTATTCAGCTGTAATCTATCAATATTGTTGATTCGATGTTATTTAGACATTAATGTTTTTCATAACACTAATTCATTCATTCATTATAATGTATATATAATTGTAGAACCTGATAATGAATTTATCGAAAAGAGTGCTCTTTTTTCCGTGTCCATTCTTTTGAAAATTCAGATTTTTCCGTCAATTTATTAGACCGAAGTTCTCGCCCTCAGCTTGACATATAGGCTACTTTTGCAGATGCTTCGACGATGCCTGGCCACGTAACGTGAAGTAGCCGACATGTCAGCACTTCGGTTCAACCAATCGACAGGAAAATCTTAATTGAATTAAATAATTAATAATAAGACCCGTTGCACAACAGGTGGCCGGTTCTCGTGACCCAAGTAGTCTAGTGGATACCGCCACCTCGGCATTTAAAACTATAGCCATTGGGTTCGAACCTCAGTGGGTGACACCATCACTCACTCACTCACTCAGTGACTAGGGGAAGCAAGTGCATCCACTGGCTGACGAGTCCCGAATAGGACGAAATGCGCCAAAACAACAATCGAATTAACACAAAGCACAAGTTTTTAAAGAAATAGAATTCACATTGAACTATTCACTATAATACATAAGACAACATAAAAAAATGAATTATCGGTTTTGTTGACTAATTATTAGAAAATTTAATTTAGAAAAATTATTATTTCAACTAGAGCGTGTGCGACTATGAATGCATGTTCTATTCTATACATATTTATTTATTTTTTTGTTTATTTATTTCCGTTCATTAACTTTTCAACACAAATAAACAATATTTCTTCACTCTATTCATCAATTTAATTTCCATGAATGAATAATTAAATAAACCATCTGTTACGCGTAAACACAATCCAGTAAACAACATTTATTGCTTTTACGAGTTTGATGACCACGGATTGATATTGATTAGAGAACCATTGAAAAAACTAGCAGGGAGTACTGGACAGCTGTTCCATCAGCCTAGTTTGGGAATCATCGGCAGTTGGCATCGACTGGGAACTTCAGGACAGAATTTCCTGGAATGAGTTCTAGTGAGAAGTCATGACTAGTGAGATCCAACTGGTCAAGTGTGAGGATGGAGTTCTCATCGAAGACATTGGTTGGTGCCAGTCACGCTAAATGCATCACGAATTGATAGAAGCTGGTCATTGAATCGAGTCCCAGTAACTGAATGGTATACGAACCAGCTTTCTTTGTTAACGGATGGTTCTTGGGTTCGAACCCTGGTGATGGGTGCGTACTGCCGATAATTCCCAAAACAGGATGAAACAGCTGGTTGTTCAGTACTCTAGCACAGCAGTTCGAGTTTCCACTGTCCTCCCTGTAGAACACAAAGGAAGAGAAGACAGTAGAGAGAGATTCAAAAGAGAGAGGGATGCATCTACGCCAGCTGTTGAGAACGATTTTGAGCCATATCACTGACAGTTGTCTCCAATCATCATTGGTTTTTACCATCCCGAGAACACGAACCCGACAGCCGGACAGTCTACACCTCTCTACGTAGCTGACTGGCAGGCCTAAACTAACTGTTGTGGATTTCATTGACTGTTGAAGCTATATTTTGGTTTGACCACCACTAGCTCTTTCCCAGGCTCATCCATACTATGTCAGCTAACATTGTCCATCGAGGACGGCGATGGCTAATAGTGCATACGTAGCACATGCCTTAACCATCTCAGTCAATGTAGCTTCACAGCCTCGTCGATTGATCTCCCCTCCTACTTATCTAGCACTCGACGCCTAACCTCAATATTACTCACCCTATTAAACCACCACCTGGCACGGGAGATAGAACACAGACACCTGTGATCAAAAACAGCTAACCTTCTCATGTCTTCCACTTTCGATGGCCATGTCTCACAGCTAACCATGAAGGAGTACAGAGCGAACTTTTGCCGTGCAGCAAACACGCCGCTTGGTCGACAGCCAGCCGGATATCACGCCTACTAGGCCAGAGATGGCGTAAGTCGGCATTTACTAAACGAAACTTCTGTATGCGTACTGAGATTTCGTCAGTGATCACCTGGCAGAGACTGGCTGGTGCAACTCTCCAAATGAGTGAAGTGGTTAACACGTTCTACCACTTCATTCCCAATTTCTAAGCTAGGAGTCAATGTCGTCCAGTCCCGCAGCATCATCACCTTACATTTGGCGCGAGCGAATCGCATGCCAAACATTCGCAGACTGAAGCTCAAGGCGTTCAGAAGACTAATTATAAAGGTGAGTACACAGCAATCAGAATATAATCTGATGAAAATGAAACCTCATGCCTTTGATCCATCTCTAAACAACAAATCACACGTAGAAGAACAAAAAAACAAAACAAAAAAGTTCAGGATGGTAAAAAAAACTATAGGCTTGAAACTAACCTCAGTACAGTAAACACACGTGCCATTTTACCAATAGCTCGAATCTTATTCCGTATCACATCTTTTCGCGCAGTGATTTGTGCTACAGTAACAACGAAGAAAAAAAGAAGTAAATAGAAGGGGGGGAGAAAACAAGTGATGTCTGTCTATTTTGTATACATACATATATTATCAATAGTTGGCTTTTTAAGGATTACATTTGTTTTAACGAGTTTGATCACGGAATGATATCAGTTAGAGATCCATTGAAAACCAGTACTGGAGTACTGGATAACCAGCTGTTTCATCCTAGTTTGGGAATCATCGGTAGTACGCGCCCACCACCAGGCTTCAAACCCAGGACCTTCTGGTTACAAGTCAAGCCGGCTCGTATACCATTCAGCTACTGGGACCCGACTCCTCAATGACCAGTCCATGAATTCTAATTTCTACCAATTCGTCATTTAGTACGAGCAATATCCATGCTCACACTACATGTATTACATATAAATTTCTTAGAATTTAAAAGATATACAGCTATGTGGCCGAATTTTATGCTGATTGGTAATTGAAAAGGACACCAGTAGAATTCAAATCAACAGTCACCAGATTTTTGATCGGATACTAGGTAAGAACGACTATCATGCATCTAGTTCTCAGTGTAGGTGTAGGCTGAATCCTATCAGTCAGGTTTGTAATATGGCCACCATGGTAGGTTTCTCAAAATCACGAGGCACTTTGAATTGTAATTAGGTTCAGCCCGTGCTCGATGGCACTCATCATCAAGGCGTATCTGCATACTTGAAGAAATTCATGACATTTCTAAGATTCGAAGGCGAATCGTCCAGTCCTGCAGTCAGAGACGTTACTACTAGTCTATTCAGGCTTGCAATTGACCTCCTGTAAGACTGTAGTGGATACTTTTACTGGAAGTTAGGTAGTAACTAATTTCATGTGTCCAGCCACTAGAATACTTAGCTTGGATCCGATGGCGATCCAGGTTCCCAGTTCTTTTTCAGTCAATTTATTATCTTTGCATTGGTTCTTCTTCTGATTCACCATACTTCTGTTCTCCATTAGTTTCCACGTGTCCATGGGAGCCACTGACTGTCTTGTCTATAATTTCCTTCCTAAAGAGGGCTAGGCCGTACAGATTTCCTTTAGCATTAATTTGAGAAAGATCTATTGTTCCTCCACACAGGTTTCTTCGCTTATTCTGCTTAATGCCTCCTACTTTCCTTTGATGACTGAAGTAAACGTACACTTCCCAGTTTCGTCTTTCAGCTGAACTTAGGTTTTGGTCTCTAATTAAATTCCTTCACGTTCCTAGTGGAATATAGGGCTTCCAGCTACAGACTTGTAGTTTCTGCAGCAATTTTAATGTTTACAGAGTGGGGTTGCTAGCCTCATGTCCAACCTTTCCTCTTTACAAGCTTTTATTATTACTGGCTTAGCGAGGTAAAGGAGTGCGTCGGCCGGCTCCCAATAGCTTAATGGTGGTACACGAGCTCGGCTTGAAATCAGAAGGTCTTGGGTTCGAACCCCAGCGGTGTGGGTGCGTACTGGTGAAGAGTCTCGAACTAGGGTGACGAAACAGTTGGTTGTGGTGTATCTTCAGCTTTTTTGGAGGCTTTCAACTTGCAATAATGGTTTCAGTTCATATTTGCTTCGCTTCACGATTTGTGTCCAGCAAGCTGCGTCTCCACTTTCTTGGACAAGATTGAAATGAAGTCTATCCGATTTTTCTTTTCTTTTAGATAACAAGAATACTAGTCTATTAATCGTGTGTCACTTGGCTTAGTTAGCATATATTACACGTCTACTAGACAAAATTGCATCCGTATTTAAGAAACTCAAATAGTGACAATAGTTAAGAGTTACTGTTTCTGACAAGCAATTTGCTTACAAACAAGTTTTCTCATTAACACACAAAGTAGCCACTAGAGAGTGGAACAGCCGTTTATTGACTTTGTAAAATGAGACATTAGGCAAATTAAACTGAAGTAGAACAAGAATAGGAAAATTAAAAAAAACTGACTCCTCATGTTTACTTTGTTAATCTATTAACCCTTGAGAATAAACATTGAGGAAATGTCTAGTGGCCAATATTAATCAGTCTCAGCATGTATGTATTCGTTCGTTCTAGTGACGGGGAAAAACCCTCCTTTTAAAGATAACGGGTGATATGAGAGAAGAAATATATGCGCGCGCACATACACACACAGTAAGTAAGCTGATGCATGCAACTTACTGATTTCCTCAAACATCACCCAGAGATTCAACATCGAAATAGGCGATAAAGCATGACTGTCAGATATTTCTAATTTTTGACTACAAGCTGACGTGAGTGAGAGAACCACTGGAAAATCAGGGAGCACTGGACAAGTGTTTCCCTCCAGCCTTAGGGTTTGAATCAGGACCTTCAGGTTATTACGAGGCGACTCAGTAGACCATCCAGCCACTAGGACCCTATTCAACAGATGACTAACTCCAACTCCTACCGATTGGCAATATATATGTAGCGCGACCAATAGCCAGTGTCATCGATAAGTAACTGTCCTCCTATCAGGCTTCTTACTAGAATACCAGGTAACTTGCTGCATACAGCCAGTCGCTAGTGAGCCTTAGATGAATTTTCCAGTATTCTCTGGTAACCCAATGGGTCTCTAACTGATGTCAGCTCATGACCAAGCCTGTACCCAATCAAATCCTTACAAATCAACACGTGAAAATCTCTATGTTTCAAGAGAACCAACCACACCTTATTAAGGAATGATCTAATTATTCTTTTTTTAATGAGTATTGAAAATGAAAGTAGGGTAATCCAGATATAATGGAGAGGATTTGTAGCTCAGGTGGCTGATTTTCATGTAGTTGTGTTCTCTGAGCTGGATGGTTTATTTGAGAAGCTTTCATTGCCCTGCTAGGTAACCTCTTCAGTGCATACTTCAATTTGAAGTGAGCTTTAAGATTTCTACACGAGTTTATTAGTCATCTCTCCTTGTGGGTGACCTTGAATGTGACTGGTTGGTTTTGTGTGTTTTCACACACAACTGTTTTGTGTATGTGTGTGTATTGGTACTGATCGTTTCCTTGACCTGAAGTTTGGTCCTTTGTATATGAGATTTCCATCATATCGATAGGTAAATCTCGTCTATGCCGATGTGTAAATGTGGGTGCGTACTGATGAAGAGTCTCAAACTAGGACGAAACACCCGTCTAGTATTCCAGGACTGGTTTTCCACTGATTCTCTAATTGATGTCAGCTCATGATGAAATCCTCCAACCAATCAAACTAAATCCTTATAAAAACCAATACTTGAAAATTTGTCTATTAATTGACAATTCATTGGAATACCAGGCTTCAAAAAGTTCTCTAGCATTCTTGGTGTTTCTTTTGTCTGATATTTGAACGTTGTCCCAGTCGAATTGACGTCCATAGTTGTCTACATCCAGTGATATGAGGGAGTGGACGTCGTGGCTTTTGACGACTAGTTTGTCTTCATGGATACGAAGATGAAGGGGACGTCCACTTAGGGCCAATGTAGTGTTTTTCGCAGTTATTGCACCTCACTTTGGAGATGATATTGATTTTATCTTCTTTCGCTGTTGAGTCTTTTGGTTGACATAGAGCCAGATGAGTGAAGTGATTTTGTTGTTTTATGTGCGACGTCAATTCCTAAAGGTTTGAAGTGTCTTGCAGTGATTTCTGAGATATCATTTAGATATAAGGTAGGGCGGTTTTCTTTGTACTTTCCTTTGGGGTCTTTGATTTAGCAGGTGGCTTCAAGGCGGATGTCTTTTGATGAAATTCCGTGGATATCCATTCTTTTGTAATGTAATGTAATGTATTTGTCTGTCTAAGAAAACATACACCACGATCAGCAGCCAGGATCATCCTCTTCGGCGTCATTCTTCATAGCTGACTTAATGGAACTCACTGATAGCTACTTCCTTTTTACAACTCCAGGCGATTTTATCCTGTAGTTAGTCGTAAATGCACAGTGAATCAATTAAAAGGTGATGGTTTTGTAAGAATTTGAGTGATTTCTCGGTAGATTCCAATACGACCTTTCCACTGGTGGTTAGAGAATCATCGTAAAACCTGCAAGTGCTGTACAGTTATTTCATTCTAGCTTGGGACTTTTCAGCAGCACGCACACATGACCCTTGTGTCTGGGAAAGAACCCAGAATACAGCCGATTCGCAAAAGGACAGTGACGGTGATGTTATACATAGCAAATTAGCAAGAAAAAGAATTAGCCTTGAATACAGTAGGTCCTGTGTTTATTTCTTGGTGTGGTTGTGTATCTATACTACCGAGGAGTCCCAAGACAGGACAAATGATTCGCTAGCTGATATCAGTCCGTAATGAAATCAGACTAATAACCAATAAGATTCGTAGAGACCGATACTTCAAAACGAGTATACCAGTTTGGTGTGTGTCACTTATATATATAACTATCAGGCCTAGTAATGTCTTCAAGGAAGAAATGACAGTTAAGTGGGTCAGGGGAAAAGAAAGTCAAGAAGGTAATAACGCTGAGAGGAATCATATACCATGGCAAGCGGAAAATGAGCGAAACGCCCACGCCTTGCGTTTAGATCAATTACTTCGATGATCTGGCTAGGAAGTACTACCGCTAGACGTGATTGGCTCGCAACTACTCATATCAATCAGTAGTATATGAAATTACAGTAGAAATAATCAACTGAGAATACGAAACTTACATTCATCTTCTGGTGTATCAGATAACAATTCGTCATCTGAACAAATATTAAGTACATTGACCAACATTTCAGTAACTATAAATCAATAAAAACAGAATAGTACAGTTATTAAAAGGAATAGAAAACAAAACATTCAAACTAAGATGGATAGACAAATAAGCAGTTGCAACATTATTTTATTTTTACTATTCATTCCTTGATTGCAGAGTGCAGCATAAAGCTTTAACAGTACACCTCCATTTGACTCAGTCCCCTGCTATCATTTTCATTTCGGAGGCCTAAATTGTCACTTCCCACTCGGATTCTTCTTGAAGGCCTGTCATACGATGACGCTTGAGTGTCTCCAATCCATCTTCATTTCTTTTTAAATAATTTCCGGGCAATAGGCTATTGGCGGCCAGTTCGTCACCAGAGTTCCACAAAACTTCTCTTCGCTTAGTTTACTATCTGATCCAAAACCTGCAGAAGGGAAGAATGTGAGGCGAGAAATTCCACCGCGTAAATAAAAACAACTACCCCATTGCCAAGGAAACTGTAAAGCAACAAAAAAAAAATATCAACACAAAACACGTGTTTCGTTTACATTAATGCTTGAATGAGAATTATTCATAAACATTCTTATATAACTGTATTTGACTGGCCACTGTTTATTACTATTATTCCCCCGGGTTATGAGTGGAACATACGGCTTCAGTTGCACATCTCTGTTCCACCGCTTTATCTGCACATTCGTCTTTGGCCGGTTCAACGATTTCCCATAAGTTCTCATCTCCTCCTCACACGATCTCTTCTATGTCACACTTGGACTAGCAACTCATCGTATACCATCGTATTCCATTCTAGGGCTTGCCTGATGCGTGATTTCACTCGACAGTCTACTCAATGTGTTTAAAATCTATTTCCATTCCATTCTGCATAATTTTTCAGTATTAGATCCTTGGTTGGCTCGTTCCCACAATTTCCTGTTGCTAATCCTTTCTGGCTGGCCATCTAATCTTCACTATGGTGCTAAGATAGCAGTTGTTGATAAAACTCTGAAGCCTGTTCGAGACGTTTTTCATGACATGCCGTCTCTGAATCATATCGAATGTTTTTATATTATTATTTTTTAAAATTTTTGATTACAGCTTGATGTCACACCGTATTTTCAGTACAAGTATGGAATTTTCAGCATGGATATCGGTAGCCCAAATTTCGAAGGCCGACTATAGACATCGGATGTGCGTCGGCAAGGGATCGAACCCCAGACATCAGTGCTGATTTCTTTTGATTTTATTCTTCAGCCTGAGTCCATACTGAATTCAGATGACTATTTTGCAATCACTGTGGAAATCTGCCACACTAGGAACAAGATTCGGATTTGAACACACCAATACCAAGTCAGTCAGTGCTTCTATTTAGTTCAGAGACTCCATATGTCACCGAAAGCATTTCTAAAAAGCTTCTGGCTTTTACCAACAGCTGCCTTTCCCGCATAATGAACATCAGATGGTCAGAAAAACGAAAAGTAGGCACAAAGAAACCTGGCAATGAACCAACCGACAGCATATCGCTCAACAACTGAGCATAATCAAAACAAGATGATTTTGAGCGAATAATTAGGATTTCGATAAATTCTTCTTCCTCAGATTCTATACAGTTATAAATCCATAAATCCATTATAATACAAGTAGCCATTCAAGGAATGCGAAAATTATGTCGGAAGCTGTATAATATGGAGTGATAGTTCGGTATTTAATATTGTTAGATGAACGTATATAAAAAATGTGCAGTCATTCAGAATATAAGATAAAGTGTGAATAGACAGCTATGTGACATACTAATGTATTTATAGTCAACAGAATATAAGTTTTATTGGATGGTGGAGGTGAGTTGTATTCACTGGTGTGCGAGGAAAATGATTACCACAAAATACATACAAACAAATACCCCAAAAAAGGGGAACAATGACAGACATCAAGAGTAGAGATAAAATAAAGAGGTTAAATTGTGAACTGTAATAAAACACTAGAGACACAATAAGCCTAGTGTAAATTGCCGATGATATATGTCTGGTTTCCCACAAACTGGAAGATATGCAAGCGAAAAGCAACAAGTTGGCGATAGAAGAAGCATCAAAGATAGGACTTCAGGTGAACATAGAGAAAACAGAGGTGATGAAGATTCCTGGCCAACACCACCAACAGCAACAACAATAATAACAACAGACAACGATCAGCCAGCATAAATGGAAGGAACCTGAAAGAAACAACCTCTTTTACCCACCTGGGAAGCATCGTTTCAACTACAGGTGGAACTGACGAGGATATCAAAGCAAGAATCGGAAAAGCAAGACAAGCTTTCACTACGCCCAAGTCTGTGTGGAGGTCAACAACACTCAGCATCAAAAATAAGATCCGGATTTTCAACTCCAATGTGAAGTCAGTCAGTGCTACTATACGGCCAGTGCGTCATAAAGAGCACCTCAAACAAATTACAGACCTTCATTAACAGTTGTCTTCGCTCAATACTCAAGATCAGATGGCTGGCCAGAAAAGGTCAGAAACAGAGATCTCTGGGAGCGAACCAACACAGAAGGAACCGATTGTGAAACAAATAGGCAGGAAGAAATGGAGATGGATTGCCCATACTCTGAGACAACAAGCCATCAAGTGACATCACTGGACAAGCCATTGCTCGAGTGGAACCTGAAAGGGAAGCGGCGAGTTGGTCGTCAGTGCGATGGTGGGTGACTTGGAGGAGGTCATGTGAAGAGGAGATGAAAGCATGTGGGCAGACTTGGAGCCAGGTGAAGACTGTAGCAGAGAACCGAACGCAATGGAGACGCAGGGCTGAAGCCCTATGTTCCTCTAGGAATTACAGGAAACAATAATAATAATAATAAATTGCAAAAGGCTGACACATGATGAAGGTTATAACGGAGTAAAGTGAACTAGGTGAAAAGGAATAAGAAGGCGTAATATGACATGAATATATGAATGATTATGTCCCTGCTGACATAGGTCAGGTTCCTTCTTATTAATCGCTATAGCTTCCACTATAGCTAAGAGACGAAATCGTGTGCCGTCAGTCAGATTGTCTGGTTATCAATATACAACCGTAAATGACTCATCTATTTTTTTCATGTGGTGTTCACTGTCTACTAGGTTAGACAAAGCGGCACTATTTATTGATTTAATTAGACTTTTTCCAAGCCAAACAGGAACATGTTCACAAAAGTGTAAAGGTAAATTCCTCTGAATTTGACCTATATAACTAGCTCCATGTGATATTGATATAAGAATAAAACTTGTGCACTGTGGTAGAGTGTAATTCCATTATGGGTAAATTTTATTTTGATAAAGTCTCACAGTGTTATACAGTAATGTTTACTGATGACCACGTTTCGAGCACAATTTATTGCTCATAATCATATCAAGGTAATCACACGACTTCCTAAATTCATTTATATAGTTCCATTGTTTTTCACTTGATTTGATTGGTAGTAATATTTTCCATATTTCGGGTATGAGTGATGAATCATTCCTATTGCATGTATTGGGTGTAGATTCGATGAACAAGGATTCAGTAATCAACCTCTCTCTCCACCTACCTACATTACTTTTTAGAATTTTAACCCTCTCCCACCCTATTGTGTGGTTGTGTGTTAATGCATGCAGGGCAATCGCTGCTGAGCTTTTTTCTAAATTACTTATCTTCTCTGGGTCAACCATTCTTACCTCAGCAAATTCTTATGTTCTGACAATCTGACTACCCCCGACCTACTAGTTTGACCTATGTAGTTCACATAACTCACAGTCATTGCAGGGTATTTTGTAAACTATATTATTTTGTCTAATTGGGTCCACTGGGTCCTTTAACCTACAGTGCTTGTCCCTGAGTGAGTTTGTAGGTTTAAATGCCACCCTAATTCCTGCTTTATTTAGAATCCTACGTAGGGTCTCAGATGTCCCCTCTTTATATGGTAGAACTGTAGATGACTTATATTCTCTCTTATTTATGTTATCATTACTAGTTCCACAATTATTTTTATTTTTCTTTTGGCCTTTTTCAATCTTCCTAATGAATTTTAAAGGATAGTTATTTAAAACCAACGCCTCTTCTACCTGTTTTATTTCATCATTTAGGTCTTTTTTGTGCTACTTAGTGCCATTGCTTGGTTTGTTAAACACTTAACTAAGCCAGCCTTAACAGTTAAAGGATGAGATGAATTAAAGCAGTCTAAATATCTATTAGAATGCGTTGGTTTTCTATCAACACTAGTGTGTAGTTTGCCTTCTTCTATTCTTTTTATTTTACAATCTAACATGGTTAATTCTCCTTGTTCATTTTCTGATTCAAATGTGAATTTTATTCCCTCCACTAGTGAGTTTATATGTGTAAAGAAGCTAGAGACATGTTCTGTTTTTAACACTGTGAGTGCAAGTATCATACACATATCTCCACCATATTTTCGGAGTAGGATTAAAAGTATTAAGAGCCATAATAAAACAATTGTTAGTTTCGATATAACCAGTCTTTATACTAACATACCAATCAATATGGCCTTAGAAGCAGTTAAAAAAGAATTAACTGCAGACTTTGAACTCACTTATAGGACGAAACTACCCATTGATGAAATTATTTTAGGAATTCAGTTGTGCCTCACATCTACTATCTTTAAATTCCAAGGCAAAATATATAGACAAACTGAAGGTGTAGCAATGGGATCCCCAATATCCCCTATCGTAGCAGATATATTTATGGATAGCTGGGAAAACAAAATTTACTCATAATGGAATAGCTCCATGTGAGCAGTTGAACATTGATGTGGCCATCTTAGGTAATTTATCTTTTCGGTGCATATTGAGATGCAGGTGGATATTAAACATTCTGGAGAGACTGTTGAGTGATATCATCCACCAGACAATCTCTTGAGGGAAACCATTGAATGGGAGACGATGAATTGGATGTTCGAGGACGGCGTGGTGGAGACTGTGTGAGGAGGAAATAAAAGTTTATGAGGGACCATACAGTCAGCTAAAAGGGACCGCAGAGAACAGGGAGAAATGGATATATGCTGCTGAATCCTTCTGCTCCACTTTGAACGTGAAGGAATCATAACAGTAAATAATAATAATAATAAAGATTGACACACAAAAACTGAAAACATTCTGTTTATGCTTTGAAATCCATAAACCAACCTTTTTCACCAACAAATGGCAACGACCAAGTGAATACATCCATAAAATTAGGCAACCAATATGGATGTGGTGAACAATTGAACTGTCGAATATTCATTACATTATTTTCATATTTTAATATAGCAGCTTTATTGCACACATAATACATAATACAATGATGATTGTGCATCAAGAGTCGATTCATCATTCATATTGACCGATCAATGCGGGGTTTGGGTGTCAGTGATGGAATCACAGTCGATCCAAACCATAGAGAAATTAAATCGCACAAAAAGAAAAACAGAAAGAAAAAAACAGGCTAAGATACTGAAAAGAAAAGCAATGCATTTAAAAGCTTTATAAAAATAAAACCAAGATAAATGCAATTGATGCTGTATATACTACTGATTGGCTAATATGAGTAGTTGTAGACCACTCATATTAACCAAGTAGCACTTACTAGTCAGATAGGAAGTGATATACACTCACACGGAATGCTCGTTTCACTCATCTGAAGCTGGCATCATCAGCTGTGTACCCAGATAGATTGACTCAGTTCAGAGAGCTAAATCCGCTCAATCCACCAAAATCCTGAAATAAAATCATTAGCAAATTACAAAGTTCAAGGAAAGATATCACCAGTCTATTTCGGTAACTTAAAATGTTGAGATCGACAAGATGTGGTCTGCTTCATATCGTTCATAGACAGTCAACCGTTCCACTGATTTGAAACCAAGCGCATCAGTGGTGTAGACAGTTCATGGGAGGTAAAATAGTTCAAAGAACCTGGATTTTAACAAGTTACACTGTAAGAGTAAGTAAGTAAGTAAATATACAAAAATAATACCTACACTTTAAACAGTTTCTAACAGAACATAAGCGAACCAAGAGCAACTGACAATGACGCAAAACTGAGAATAGGGTAATCTGCTGTTTCTGAACTCATAACAACGAAAATTCACACATCCTTGTCGATGAATATTGAACAAGTTATAAAATACAGAACCTATGATAATTTGGAGCTATCAGGCGAACATAGACATAGTTATCTATGAGTTAAACTCACGACTGCGATGAAGTGATTTCAAAACTATGTGTAGATTAACAGACTGCGTTGAGAATATTTACATAAGTTGTTCCACACTACACATTTTATTATCTTTTCCACTTCAAAATGATATATATATATGTATATTTTGATTATAGCTTGATTCAGCACAGTACTTTAGGTAGAAGTATGGAATTTTCAGCATCTGATATTGATAGCCCGAATTTCGCAGGCCGACCGTTGATATTAGGTGTGTATCGGCAGGAGATCGAACCCTGGGCCATGTGCATGATCAGCGAGAGTCCTGATCTCTGAGCCACCGACACACGCATATTGCACCTCCATCAGTATGACATAAAATGACACATGCGCACACATGCAATGCTTATTGTGCATAACGCTACTTTCTTACAATGATCACGCCTGACCTTTAGTTTGTTATTCCTTTACGTTGCCAGTGGAACATAGGGCGCATTCAAACTAGAGGCTTGAAGTTTCAATAGCAGTGGTGTTTATTTTTACGGGATGAGGTTGCTAGCCGCCTCATGTCCAACCTTCCCTCTTTACCGGTCTTATCACTGGCTTAGCGAGGTAAAGGAGTGTGTCAGCCGGGGTTCGAACCCCAGGCAACATGCGTGGTTGGTAGGCATTCTATCGCTGCTCCACCGACGCACATTAGGTAATACGAAGTTTAGAGTTGTAATACATTTACCTGACAGTGTCCCTTATATTGCTAGATCATTCAGACTACAGCCCAAGTTGGAACACAATTATCCTAAAGTACTTCAAGTATACACTAAGCGAAATGTTGCATAACATTAGTAAAGTAGTTTTCCCTATATACCAAACAAAAAAGGAATATAGGATAAAAACTTAAACGTCTAATTCCCTAGGTTCACATTTTAATCTCGATATCGCCCACCATGTTGTACCACTTAACAGAGGACATAGAAAGCAAACATCTATGGTCTGTCTGTCTGTTTTCAACATAGAACTTAGCATCTAGGTGCAGCAGTTCCAGTCGCCACACTTCACTCAGAACACATAGCAAGAGAAGAAAGTAGAAGAAATGCATAATGGAGACAGTGATAGGGATATGAGACAAAACGAATAGTAATAACGAAGAACAATATAGTTTCATTGGTTATTAGAAGACACAAGGTGTGGATGCATCTGCACCAGCCATTGGGAACGATTTGAGCCAGCCATATCACAAATCGTCTCCAATCGTCAGTGGCTTTTATTGTCCCGAGGACCCCAACAAGGAAGTCTATACCTTCTTACGTGGCTGGCTTGAACTAACTGTTGTGGAATTCATTGATTGATGAAGCGATGTTTTCGTTTGACCACCACTAGCTAGCCCTTTTTCAACATGACCCTATCTCAGTTAACATTGATCGTCGAGGAAGGCGATGGCTAATAGTGCATGCGTAGCACATGCCCTAACCACCTCAGTCAATGTAGCTTCACAGCCTCGTCGATTGATTTCCCGCCCCCACTTACCTAGAACTCGACGCCTAACCTCAATATTGCTCAGCATATTATACCACTTCACATAGAGGTATAACGTAGGCACCTATGATCAAAGACAGCTAGCGAGGCTTTTCATGTCTTCCACTTTCAATGACCATGTCTCACAGCCAGTGATAAAGGAGGACAAAGTAGACTGCTGAGCAGTACACACGTCTTTAAGTCTGTGGTCAAAGACAGCTAGCCTTCTTACATATCTTCTACTTTCAATGACAACGCCTCACAGTTATAAAAGAAGTCAGAGCGAACTTCTGTGTAGTAAACACGGCGTTAGATCAGTCAGTAGCCAGCCAGCTATCACATCTCTACACCAGGAATGAAGCTATTTGGCAAAATCAGTATATTTCAATATAAACTAATAATAGGAAATGAATAATGATGGCTATGTTTAATAATAATAAAAAGGCCCCATTTATCAATGTAAGAATATTTTCAGATAAAAATAATGATTTTAGTTCATATCCTGCTTTCCTTCTTTCTTTCTCTCTCCCTATCCTAAATAATTCATTCATTCATAATAGAATATTCCATAAAAATAAGAGAATAACTTTCTGTCATCATATCTCATAGGCATAGACAGCATTAACAACACTTTCCAATTCATTGTTGATTAACATATATATTTGCATAAATAAATTAAAAAAGAAAAAACAATGATTCCTGTGACTATCAATTCTTTACATTATCCCTAATACTACATCTGACATGTTCGTGTTCATATATTCTGAAAGTGAACAGGTTACCCAGACAGAAACAGTAGTAATGATAATGACAATAATAATGATAATAATAATAATATAAAGCGAAAACAATAAATCAAAAGCCAACTGTGAGTTGTACTCATGTAAGATAAAGTGATATATTTGATAGTGTGAAATATATTTCCATATCCCATGAATTAAAAGTCAATCTGAACGAAGATTATTATTATTGTTTCCTTTAATTCCTAGAGGAACATAGGGCTTCAGCCCTGCGTCTCCATTGCGTTCGGTTCTCTGCTACAGTCTTCACCTGGCTCCAAGTCTGCCCACATGCTTTCATCTCCTCTTCACATGATCTCCTCCAAGTCACCCTTGCACTGACGACAAACTCACCGCTTCCCTTTCGGGTTCCACTCGAGCGATGGCTTGTCTAGTGATGTCACTTGATGGTTTCCTCAGAGTATGGCCAATCCATCTCTATTTCTTCCTGCCTATTTGTTTCACAATCGGTTCCTTCTGTGTTGGTTCGCTCCCAGAGATCTCTATTGCTGATCTTTTCTGACTGGCCATCTGGAGTTGAAAATCCGGATCTTATTTTTGATGCTGAGTGCTGTTGACCTCCACACAGACTTGGGCGTAGTGAAAGCTTGTCTTGCTTTTCCGATTCTTGCTTTGATATCCTCGTCAGTTCCACCTGTAGTTGAAACGATGCTTCCCAGGTGGGTAAAAGAGGTTGTTTCTTTCAGGTTCCTTCCATTTATGCTGGCTGATCGTTGTCTGTTGTTATTATTGTTGTTGCTGTTGGTGGTGTTGCTCGGGAATCTTCATCACGTCTGTTTTCTCTATGTTCACCTGAAGTCCTATCTTTGATGCTTCCTCTATCGCCAACTTGTTGCTTTTCGCTTGCATATCTTCAAGTTTGTGAGAAATCAGAAGTACATCATCGGCGAAGTCCAGATCCTGCATGTTTTTTGTGTGAGTCCATTTTATGCCTGTTTCCTCATTGCCCGCTCTTTGTCACATTATCCAGTCTACTGAAATCAGGAAAACCATTGGCGATAGTAGGCAGCCAGCTTGTCTTACTCCTGTCCTCACTTCGAAGGATTCCGTAAGTTTCCCGTTGTGGATTACTTGGCATGCAGCATTGTCGTATAGCTGTTGGATGAGATGTTTAATTGTCGGTGGCACCCCGTAGTAGCGAAGTAGTTTTCAAATCACCTCTCGATTGACACTGTCGAAGGCCTCTTCAAAGTCGATGAAGTTGAGATAGAGAGGTGACTGCCATTCCAAGCTTTGTTTAATGATGATCCGTAATGTGGCGATCTGATCAATGCATGACTTGTTTCTCCTGAATCCAGTCTGTTCCGGTCGGAGTTTTTCATCCAGGGTATGTTTTATTCTCTCCAGGATGATGCGGCTTAGTATTTTGCTTGGGATGGACAGGAGCATAATTCCGTGCCAGTTCTTGGATTGACTTAGGTCTCCTTTCTGTGATAGTTTGAATAAGTATCCTTTCTTCCAATCCTCGGGTACGAAGAAGGATATTCTTTTCAGTAATTTCTCTTCTTCAGGTTCATACAATTATAAAATATATGATATTTCTTGTCATTACAATAATGATAGCCAGTTATTCGGCGGATACATTTTTAAAGTAGAATAACAGATTAGTCCTATTTGTGTGACAAACGTGCTAAGCTGAATTCGATTACAAATTATTGTAAAATGGGAGGCAATGGTGGTGATTAGTGATAATAGATTTCTAGAGTGTGGGGTAAGGAAATTGACAATTCAGTTCAAGGTTATAAAAGGTGTCAGGCGGGTGAGTGGCTAGTACAAAGGGGTTTGTATTAAACAGGGGATAGTAAGAC